AGTGTTATCTCCTTGTCCACCAGGTTCAGGTTGCACAAAGGAGGCTTCACTTTGCTCCAATTTACACGGTTGAAAGGTCGCATTTTCTTGTGGGAGTGACTCAATAATCAGCTGCAAGCTGGAAGCATGTGGAGCGTCGAGAACTTGACCTAAAGACCAAACAGTTGTGCTCATTTCACTGATCATATGAAATTCACATCTGCTCTTGAATCTAAGACAGTCTCGACCAGCTCCAAGCAGATCAACGACATCCTCTCCTGTCATACCCTGGCTGCACAGCACCGCATTCCTGACCGGAAAGGATTGTGCGAAAACAGTGTCAATGATGAGAACTCGTTGATTCCTTGCTCCTTGATGATCAGTCAGAACAACCAGATCCAAAGGCATAACCCTTAAGGTCAAAGGCATCAGAAGAGGGAAGATCATGGACACACCGAACTCATCCGTACCTACAACATCGGAGATAGTCCTTATAAGAGACTGAGAAAAAGGGAAGTTCGGTTGTAAAATGGCAGTGCGCGCAAAATGCGAACAAGCTCCTGTCACAATCCACACGTACACTGTCGACACTGTGTCCTTCGTTATGGGAAGTCGATCTGAAATATACTGCCTTGCAACATCGGCTATTCGAGAGATTTGATCACTAAGCCTCAAGACCCCATAATGTGAGCCAGAAACGACAACTCCATCTGAGTTTCCGTGGGCACGGACATATGCAGCCAAATCTCGTAAGGCTTCCGGTGACTCAAAATCAGTCTGCATAAGGACATGCTCTTCTACGTCGTCCCCCTCCTCATCAATTGAAGAGGCATTTGTCGAAAACTCAGAGGCTTCCGCATCACCTGAACTATCGCAAGTAGAGCTGCCGCTACTACTATCACTGTCGGGTCCCAATTCAGACAGCATCATAAACATGCCTTCATAAATAGGCACTACTTGGAAAAATGCATAGGTGATTTCTCCTGCATCAGCTGGCACTATCACAGTGCAGGTGTTCTGCCACAAACAGACATTTTGCGGAATGATCAGCTGGAAGAGCTCGGAAACAGTAGGGAATCTTCTTGTTCTCAATATGAAAGTCCTTCTATACCTATCATCATCAGACACGTATTGAAAGAGGACCGGTGTATACCCTTCTCCCTGAACCGTAGTGACAATAAAATTTGGTTGCCTTCCAATCGCAGTCGTAGGGGCAGGACGTACAGGGAAAATATAGCATGTCCTTCTTCCATACACATGAGCCCAAACCCGTCTGATTTGCTGGTCGACAGGCTCAAAGAAGCGAAGAGCTAGAGTGGTATATTTCCTGCAGGCGTTTCCAATTTCGTCCGCTGTATGGAGCCAAACCACCACACGGACTGGATCTGGAACGACTTGTTGCACATACTCTAGCAATCGATCTTCTCTTCGTGTCGAAAATTGCATAAGGCATTCGTCATCGCTTAAGTCTGTCGTGGCATCATGGTCAACTTCTTGGAGATAGTCATGAGAAGATGTTTGGACTAGCAAGTCAATGTTGCATCCTGTAGCAGGTCTAGGGGCGTTTGGCTTATCATCGTAAGTCTTTCCGCATAATGCAGCTACAGACTTCTTGCCTTGCATGTCACCTACGAGGCCGATCAGTGCAATCTCCGTGTATTTGCAAATCGTACAGGCACGGTAAACAAACATCTCGTGGGTTGTTTGGATTCCAAAGCTCCTGGGAACTTGTCGGATTGTAAGAAAAACCGGAGTGCACCTGCGGTTGAAATCAGGAACCTCATAAACTAAGACACGCAAAGCTTGTCGCAAAGTCGCAAGACTTGTTGGCCTCGGTCGAATAGCCGAAAAACTGCACCTATTTCGACATCGATCATGCCACATTTCATTCACGACTTGCTCCAAATTTCCATCTTCTCCATAAGAAATTCGTCGACTCCTGGCCTCTGACCCACAGGCTGGTCCGCTAGGAGTGAACCACGTAACCAGATGAAAGACTTCCTCTGGGCATGATAGTGGCAGTGAAACTGGCCGATCAAAGGTGTGTCCAGCAGTGTCACTATCGTTCCTCAATTGCATCAAGGAAAGTGCATCTTCATCTTCGATAAAAGCCCCACTAGCAGAATTACACAAAGAGGTCTTGCGTATCTTCTCAAAATGTGGTGAGTCATGCACAGCTCCACGGACAGTATGGTTGCTATCCGGAGCAAACATCCTTCTGTAAACCAGAGTAGGCGCTTGTTGGCCTGGAAATTCCACAATGTCAGCGAAGTTCCCACAAAATTCTCCAGTAGCAGAGGAATGTCGAAGGCCGTAGGTTCTGAATGATGTCGCAGAAGAACGAGATGGGTACTCACAAGGCCCTGGAGTATCCTCATCTGTCGGTTTGCCTGTGCTTCTTAAGGAAATGTCACTTCCATTTCCCATCTAGTTCGCCATGATGAAAAGGGCGCTCCAATGGATCGACCTTCTTGGAAGACGATGCAGAGTCAATCTCCTTTTCCCACAACGAGAGCATCTGGCCGGCATCTTAGGAACACATTCTTCACGAAATCGGAAATACGTGATCCCAGCCCAGCAAAATATCAACCCAAATAAATACCAGCAGGAGTACTGGAGGATATGCACACCGCCGAAACTCCCATAGCCAGTTTCATCTTCTTCAGCGCATTCCAGAAGAATCACCTTGCATAATGCAGCTCCCAAAAGGGGGATCACATCAGCATCATCAATTCTCCATTTTGGCCAGAAATACAATCGTTTCCGCTGCAGAAAGAAATTCCGCAAATTAGACAAGTATGTCGGGCTTTCTCGGAAAAAGCTAACCCAACATCCAATCCCAAAAGAGAGAAAAAGGACCCATCCTAAGTGACTCAAACACTTGAGGAAAAAACCGGAAAATCTTCCACAAATCTTCCAGCACAGGTCACTTAGGGTCAGGTGATTAACACAATCAAAAGCTCCAGGATCCCAAAGCCATCTGCCAAACTGATCCAGGGCCACTGACGATATATGCCATCGTATGTCCCATACATACTCAGCAATTCCTTTGATCACGAACGTTCCTGCATCATATGGCAGAGAGGTCATGGTCTCTTCAAACTGATTCTCAAAAACCGGAGTAGCACAGCTGCTGCCTTGAAACTTGGCGCACCCTATACTATCACAGTTTTGGTCTAAGACATCACATCGACATTGAGGAACTGGCCTCCTCCCGGAGTAGTCTCCAGGGGCTTTGGCTTCTCCCCTTTTGGGGTATAAGGCCCCTCTGCACTCTGTCTGAATCTGTTGACAGTCTTGCGAAAGGGGCATAATGCCTGGCTGTGAGCAACAGGAAGAGCCGATGAGGTAGTTTCCCCGTTCTTTGAGGTCTCGGAGATTGCTGACTCCTGGAGTAGCTGGTGATGAACATTTCTCAGCAAATCCTGCACAACCTCCAAAGATTGGTACTCTTCCGGCTTTTCCTGCATCATCTGCCATGCTAGCATTTGACATTTCTCTGGATACTGAGTCATCTCTTGCTGTATGGCCTGGTCGAAGGAACTTGCTTGAGCCATTTTGCTGCTTGTCTCGCCAGAAGCAGGCGGGGACCTGGATCGTTCCCTTTTCCGGCGCTCCTGATCTGCATCCTTTTCTTCTTTGATCTTGATGCAAGCTGCTCTCGGCCTTACCATTTGCTCTGGCGAGGATTTGGTCGGAATTGTAGGGATGGCCGTTCCCTGGAGACATCCAACCAGTGTAGCGATCTGCATCTGCATCTGTTCCAGCATGTTTGCATTCTTCTGTTCGACAGCTGACGTATAGGTGGCAAATTTCTCGAAGGTGTCTTTGACGTCTGCCAGCTCCTTCTTGAGCGTCTTGTTCTCCTCGCCGTCGGACTCCACTTCGATGGGAGCTGGTTCCCCACTCTCTCCTCGTTCGAGGCTTTGGAGACGGGTCTGCATCTCTGCCACTTCTGTTTGATGCCTCTTCTCTTCGGTATTCACCCCAGCGGTGATGTTCTTCTTCCATCGCTGGAATCTCTCTTGAGTCTTGTCTAGCTGCTCGCGGGTTTTGATGATCTTGGTCAGTGCTTTTCTCTCCGCATTCAGCTCCTTCTGTTTCTGTCTCAAAGCCTCCCTCGGATTTTCCTTCACAAGACTGACAATCTCTTCTGGCATTTCCTCGGGAGTCGCTACCTTGGACAGGACGAACTTCATCGCTTCCTTGAGCTGTTTGTTCTCTTCCCGAATCGCAGAATCCCCCCATCCATAGGATTGCCACGACGAAGATGGTTGCTCCCCATCTTCTATATCGATTCTTTTGCCATCGTAACCTCTGAGCAAGGGTTCTTCTTTCTTCGAATTGTTGCCTTTCTTCCATTGACCTTGCCAGTTCGAGCTTTGCCATTTGTTCCATGGCATGTTCTTGTTGACCAAGAAGTCGTGCTTGTAAGCAGGCCTGGAATGGTGTTCTTCCAGAAGCTTTTTGGCAGCCAGTGTTCGGAAGGCTAGTCTTTTGCCGATACGTTTTCTCACCGGGAGCGACCGTAGCAGCAGCCTAGCTCTATGGCGTTTAGCGCGGAGGCGCCTGTGCCACCTAGGGGACCTAAGGGCGTGCGTAATTACGCACTGGGGCCGAAGTCGTTCCTAATCGCCTCTATAGGCAAACTAAGCAATCTTGAGCCCTCGAGCCATTCAGTTGCGCATGTATTCAGCACGCATGTTCTTGAACCTGTCGCACCGCGACAATGACTCGATGATCGCGATCATGGCTGATCGAGATGAGACGCCACGCCTCAGCGGCGGCCCATCAGGATGGAAGGGACTCATTGCTTCAGTGACTGAGTTCCAAAAGCTAAAGACAAACCAAACAATATTGAAAAAGAACAACCAAGAAAAAACATACCTACCTACTTCCCCTATGTTTTGGTTGTTCGATCATTCTTATTGACATGTTTTGGGATAGTTATATTGGTGGTCCCCTTTCCGCTGGTGCCGGTTCCTGTCCGGTGCTGTCACTGGATGCACGAAGACACCAAGGCCCCATGGCCTGTCGTTGATGGTCGCGGGAGAAGAGGTCTTCGAATGGGAGGCCCCCACGGTCCGGACTCGACCGCCGCTGTACGTCGCTCGTCGCTGTACGTCGCTTAGACGGACGTTTTTGGGGCCGCTTGACGGGTGGCAACTGTTTATGCGTGCCCAAACGGCATAAACATGTTGCATCACTGGAAGCTCCAGGTATGCACGACACACGACGAGTCAACGCCTTGGGGTGCATTGGGGCACCTCGACAAGATTGCCCTGGCTTAAATGGAAGACGTGATTCCAACCTGTGGGCCTTTTGATTTTTTGAACCATTGTAGAACTTGACAAGTTCTCTGCTTGCAGAGGAGTTGCGTGTCATCCACTTCCATGTTTGTTTGTTCGATGGAGGGTAGAAATGTTGTCCTAACAACTATTGGGGTCTTAGATTTTGGTTTGCAAATGTGCTGCATAAGCTGGGAGTGATGTAGACAAGGACGCCACAAAAATCCATGCGAAGCTGTGTGGACATCACGAAAAGTTCAGCAAGACAAAGACTCTTGTTTGATTTACTTCAGGAGTTTGAATGGGTGGAGTTCTGGAGAGGTGTGAAAAGGCCACCACCCCAAAATTAACAAAAGGATCAGCCAGTGAAGATGTTTGAAGACACGATCTACCGTGCGCATGGGCCCTACTTGTTTGCGGGTCAAAACGGAAAAAAACGCCTGGACGACCCGCTGAAGGACTTCCAACTGAACATCCCACCGCTCGCCGGCGACAGGTGGAGGGCAAGACGAAGCTGCGAGAGATTCATCTGCGAGATGCGGCGAACGTCTTGGCCACGCAGATGCAGGAGTTGCGTGGTTTTTTGGACGGAGAGGAGGTGGGATTTGTGATGGGAAGGCTGCTTGTTGGGCTGGTGGATTTAAGTTCACACATTGGTGGGCTGTCGCAAGTTGCGTGCAACTTGCCCCTTTGGTACTAATCGTGTCTTTTGATACTGTGTTGGCGAACATCCTTACGTAAACACCACAGATGGTCCTGATACTGTACGGGCATGTCAGAGAAAAAGGTGTCACAACTCCATCATGGCACCCAGAAGTGCTGGTGAACACCTAAACGAGCTTGGCGACGTCCAAGTTGTACGGCTAAAAATATAGACATGTCGGAATCGCACATCATTGAATTACATGGTAAAGCCACATGTATCCAGGAACCCTACCGTATTGGACCGGTGCCGTTTCCGATCTGAGACGGCCTCCAAAACCTGCATCGACTCCCCAAGTCGGTTCCCTTGTTGGATCCATCGGGACGGTGGGTGGGGTTGCCCTGGTCGGGCGGACCCGCCCGTTTCCGACCTCCTGGCGTGGCTTCCACGCCAAGACTTTTCTCGGCAAAGCCTTCGAACAAAATCACCGTTTTGGAAGATGGGTCGTGACAGACCTGGAGCCCCAAGTTCACCATGTAGACCTGGTTCGACCAACACCAGTGCCGGGGTCATGCCTGTTTTCGGTCCACCGCCGGGTTGTTCGAGCCGTTCGAGTTTGTTAAAACCTCCGTTTCCCCAGAGGCCCCCACTTCGTCGGTGCGGCGACCGAACCGACGAAGTCCCTAGGCCACCTCCCCCTGCGGCGGTTACGTGGCGGTGGCCAACGCCACGACGGTGACGGCGGCTTGGCGGCGGTGAACCAGGGCGGAACGGGTGAGTGAACTGCGAGGCCCATGGCGCGCCACAGGGGGATTTTCAGCTTGGAAGATGGGGGAAGGAACAGGAAAGGGAACCCGGGGATGGAACAGGTGGACGTTCGCTTCCAAGCTTTGGCAGAAATTGTCCAGCAAACGGACTGACCAGAATGGGAAATTACAGGTTTGACGAGCGGAACAGGCTCCATGTGGGACGATGCAGTGGAGGGGATGAACCCTATCTTTGGACGGGACCCTTCCCACTGTCCCTACCTACTATCCAGCGAAACCACAGCCAAGGGAACGGGCTTGGGATAATCAGCGGGGAAAGAATCAGGGCCTTCTGAAATCACACACACCTTCTGCCTTGGAAGGTGCTCCTCGTGCCGCATGAGGAGAAAACCCTCCCATGCATTCCCTTGCCATGCCGGGGCCGTCGATGGGTCAGCGACCCGTCGGCGGGGCCGGGAGGTGTCCCTCGGAGCTCGCTCGGAGCAACGCATTTTCCTCGGTTGAAAAAGGGTTTCCAGGTGTTTCCCGCCTCCGATAAGAGCAGAGAGGAGGGGATAGGGTGTCCAGCAGCAGAGGATAATAGGTGGTTTTTGGGGTCGGAAAGTGGGATGTCTCTGCAAGAAGGGTTCATGCTACGCCCACCATGTTTGCTCGTTTCGATTCAAGAGGTTCTTGGATACTTGAGATGATTCTGAATATTCCGATTGGATTGGATTGATAATTTTGTCAATCAATGGTTGTGTGGAGTTTGAGTCAACAGGCCAGGCAGCAATTCAAGGATCCGTGCCTAACAAAAGGCACCAGGCGGCTTGAGCCTTATTTCAGGTTTTTTTTGGATGGTTCTCTCGAAAACTGCACACAATCAGGATGACTCAGAAACTGTGCGCAGGGAGCTGCTTTGGAAGACTTCCCTAGACACTCTTCGCCGCTCTCCTTGGCCTCTCGGGCACTGTTTCTTCGCCGGCCTTCGCATTGAGGTGCATCGCCTGATGTCCAAAGGACAAGAGGCCGTGCTGAACCGCAAGGTGCGTGACAACTGCTTTTGCCGTGCGAAGCGCTTTTTTGACCCGTGCCACACCGGGAAGCGTTTTTTTTTCCCACGCGCGTTCAAACCAACGCGTGGGGAGGAGAATTGGGTGAGTGAAACCGGCTGGCTTGACACTGGGATGGTGACCGGTCAAGAAGAAGGACGGTTTTCTGGGTATCTCCATGCACTTTTCCAACATGAGGAATACCAATAGATAGATACTCCATGGCTTCTGTTGGTACAATTTGGGTTTATGACGACAACCTGGTCAGGTTGACGGCCTGAATCCCACAAAGATTTGAGAGTCGGGTGACAGCCATCAATCACAGATGGGGACTTGAATTGGACTTGATTGGATTTGTGGATTTGACCTCTCCTGTTAAGTAGATAGTGGATTCGGAGGGGGGTTGGCCCAAGATGAAGCTGCCAAGAACGAAAAAGGTAGGAGTCCTCAAGAGTCCTCCTTGTGGGCATCAAGGGAAATGGTTGATATGAAGGCATTGGAAAATATGCGTTGTAAAAATGATAACGTTAGGTCATCTCATCTTCAAACCCTTGTAGATACTAGAACGTGGAGCAAATAGAGACAAGAACGGTTGGCTATTTACCCTGATTATCCTGATTGTCATCACAAATTTAGATATGGCCACGGCTTCGCAACGACCGCCAACGATCATCGAACATTGAAGCACCGAAAGGAAAGGACTGGGGGCACGGGTTCACCGGAATCGATTGATCTCTCTTGTGGATCCTCTCCGATTCAGAGGTGGGCTCTGGTGAAGATGAAACGGTCAAGAAAGAGCGATCGAAAAGGAGCCATGAAATAAACATGCTGGCATCTTGCAATAGATAGAACATGGAACATGTCAATAGGTTGACAGTTTCCCTGGTGTTTGGATGATTTCCCTAAAAGTGCTCCTGATCCTTCGATGAAGTCCTTTCCTGAAGTCCTCCAGTCTGCTTTCCCATGTTTCAATTCCAACACCTCTTCTCCCTGTCAACACATGCAATGATGTGTTTGACATCGTCGCAGGTCACGTCGAACATTGTCGCCTTGGCCTTCTCCTCCAGACACTTCTTAGCTGTGGGGACCATCGAAAAGAAGGCCAGATCGCGCGGAGAGCGCGATCCGGGCGGGACCTCGGAGGCAGTCGGCAGTCGGTTGGGGCGGGCCGAATCGGATGTTATGTTTTTGGGGTTGTTCCCCTTCTAGTTCGGCAGGGCCTTGAAGTAGGGACTGTGCCAAACATGCTTTGAATGTGAGTAACACAAGCGCAGTTGGAACCCTAGGAAAGTTGTATAACTCTGAGTCACATCCATAAATCATCCTAAATACATGAAACATCATGATCAGCGCTCAAATCCATGTTTGTGGGCGCTCTTCGCTGTTCTGCAGGACTGGAGAGCATGTCACCCTCTTTTTCAGGCTGCCCTCCAGATGTGATAGACTCATAGATTCATAGACTTTCGACAGCAAACTCTTGGTGAAGCCATTCCAAGTGGTGGCTTTTTCTGTCCCGCGAATTCAGAGGAGCCTTTCGAATTCCAAGAATTCCTTCGGAGGCATGTTTTTAGAATGTGCCATTATTGTTGTCTTTACGGGGCTGAAATCAACACGTCTCATGCCCAGGTAGTCATGGCGGGGGGGCCGGAAGAGCAGGATTCATGACTCGACTTTTCTGGAGAATCGGGATCAAGACCTGGCGATGCCAGGTCTTGGTGTTTCACCTGGAAGATAGCAAGGATCGGCAGGGCGGGGGTGTTGCCCTGGCGGGGTGGATCCGCCCAGCGATCTGCACGTTCGATGATCACCAAAGGGATTCCTGGCCAACCGAGCTGTTTCAATGGTCTGAATCCCAAAGAACAGCTGTTTTACTAAGGATTTCACATGACCAAACCAGGTCAACCATTCTTTTCAATGGTCGGAACTGAAGGGTAGGGAAATTATGATCACTAGGGCGGTTTGAATCAGGGGACCAGCCGAGAGGTCAAGTCAACGTTGATCAGTTTGAATCGTCTTCAGCTGTCGCTTGGACAAGATGTTTTGGAAAAGAGTTGACACCTCGAAGCGATAGCCTGTGAGTAAAAAGCCGACCCATGTTGACAATGCCAATATTTCGGAAGGTTCTGTTCCGGCAACGTGGCGTCGCAGAGGGGAGGAACCCCGGTGGCCAAACGCACGGCCGTCGACAACAATTAGGACTGGTCCATGTTCGAACGTGAACTCAGGGGCCGAAATTGTAACGTTCAGGGCTGGACGAGGCATTTTCCTCGACATTTAGCAGCTAGCATTTGGCGCTGGGCATATTCCGAGGTGCCCGTCATGAATATGCTGATGTGCTACATGTCCAACTTCTCCACTTGAACTATATATCTCTCCACCCTTTGTACGCAAACGAGAGTTTGTGCTAGTTGTGTTTGGGCAGAACTTGCCCTTCAGCTCCTAAGCAGCTTCGCTGCTCCACCATGTGTCATACCCACCATGCGTGGGCAGCGTCTGAGGAGCCAGAAGTCCTGGTCGCTCAGGCCCTGCTTCGACACGTGTTGCTTCGGGATGGGGTGATGTTGTGGATGACACAACCGCGCCACAAAATTCCATACATCGATTGTAGCACTGCATGCTCTTCTTGTGCGAATTGTGCTTCGTGATATTTCGTGACACTGATGAGTTCATCCAAGATGGCACAAGATGGAGGCGGTCCGTTTGTATTTTAAGATGGTTGAAGGGGATTAGTACAAAAACAGTAATGGCTATAGTGGATGATTTGCGTCGTTGAAACCGAATAGCATTGGTCTTCCTGTTGGACAAGTTCATATATACCATGGTACCTGGCACCACGGACCGAAGATGTGTCAAGCGCAGCCTGCCCACGGTTCCAAAAAAGAACCTTGCAAAAGACCCTCGTGCGATCTGCTTTTGAAAGACCCCATTCCCCATACATGGCCCTCAGTCATCCTCAGTCTATTTCATTCTTTGGTTGACCCTCCTTCACACCCTCCGAGTCACAGAAAACCCCGAGTCACCTTTCATCCTCCACTGCAGCGTGGCATCGCATCGGCGTCCCGCGTCGTCCCACCCGGTGCCGCGTCGTCGCCGCACGAGCGGCCGGAGCGAGGTCAACGACCTGTGCTTCGCACCCTCCGGGGACATCTTGGCCATCCCCGGAGGCCTGCTTCCGACGGGGGAAGCTTCCGGGCAGGTGAAACAGCGGTTGGAAGGACCAAAGACGAAGACGGACCTTTAGAGAGCTGGAAGTCTCTGAAAGGTGGAGGTGCTTCTGGGCAGTGCGTACCCTATGCACTCGAAGAATCCAGTTTGGTGTCTAAGTGTACTTGCAACATCCACGTACATGCTTTAAGGAAAGCGATTGTATTTGCAAGAGAGAGAGAGAGAGAGCGTTTGCTCCTAACTCTTAACTAGTCTCTTTAGCTATGCTTAAGGAAATGTTGTTGCAAGGAAAACGTTTGCTCCTATAGAACTATTCTCTTTGCGTAACTTGCTATGCTTCTTTTGCTGGGGAGTTCGATGTCCATGCCAGATGCAGCGCTCTTGGGAGTAGAGGGACGAACTGTGGAGATTGTTTCGAAGTGAAAGTGAAGCCCCAGTAAGACCTCATAGGCTGCTGTAGATATAAATGGCAGACATCACCAGGCATCCTCTAATTAAGCCATGGTAATTATCATCCAATATATGTCATCTATAGTCCCAATACTCAGCCATATACCCATTCAGCCGTGGCCTATCCTCTCTAGTCGCGTCCCAAGACTTGGTGTGACGTCGCTGGCTGTACCCGCGTGGAATGCCAGGGGATGATGAAGTGGGTCAGGTCTTGCTGTGGCGTGTGGAACGCACGGGGGCTTGGACCGGTGCGAGTCGTTTGGACCGGAAGAGGCTCAGATGAAACGGATTTCGGAGGCCCCCAGGACCCACAAAGATGTCACCCCCGTCATGGGCAGAGAAGCGTTTGATGATGGATTAGTCGTTTTCCTGGAGGTTGGACCAGATGGAAGCCCAAAACCCGGTTGGGTCGGTCTCCGAAAAATGGTCGAAAAGCATGGGTCTTTCTTCTCAGGTTCCTCATGTGACTTCACGAGGAGGTGGTATCCCCTTGTTCGTCTTGCTGGGCATGCCCGATGCTACCGGACGGTGCCCATCAGACCTGGGCAAGCTGTTCCGATCGCGCTTGCTCTATACCCGAATGGAAACATGCAATAGTAGCCTTGGAGTCGACCCCCGTCCAGAGGATTAGAGGAACCCAGAAGTGTTTAAGGAAGTTCGACCCTCTTTTCTTGTGCTTTCTGGATTGGCTTAGAAGTCATGGAACACATTCCCCCCCATAGGTCGCTGGCGGCAACTACCCACGGCCGAGCGATGTTCATATTGCAATACCACTGATGAACTTCAGCAGAAAAAGCTACTTGACCTCTCCTGTCTTGGGAGGCCAGTCTGAGTCCCCGGCAAGAGCCCCGTTTGCAGGTGAACCACGGGATGTCCATTTAGAGTAGCATGGTGCTGGTAGTGGTCAGCCTTTCCAGCCACAACGCAGCGCGTAGTATTCACATGTTTTCCTGCACCGGAACGATAACAGTAGAGACTTCCTGCGTTGACGTCTTCAGTGGAGACTCGAAAGGACTCACCGAAGATCTCTTCGAAGTGGTCACGCGTCCAGCATTTACAACAGGTCCACCACACAAAGGTCAAGGAGCATTTTACAGGTTATGGAACAGTGAGACTGTGACACTACTCCTCAAAAGTATACTTCAATACACGCACCAGTCGCACTGTCAAGATGAAACTCCCATCATCTTGAGAAAAAGGGACTCCAAAAAAAACAGCTCACCCAATCAGACACACGATCTCCATCCACCCACCGGTTTTGGTCACCCTCATCTGCCCTCTGCACACGACCTCCCTTCGGAAAAACCGGTGTGGAGTCGGTCCATACCAGGCGAGGCCTGCATGTATTTGGGCACGGTGGCCACTCGCGGCGCCCCTCGGCCGAGACGGAATCCGTTCGTCCGCACCGTCGGTGTGGTTCGCTTTTGGGCTTTGTTCGGTGTTGGGGTCCGGGACATGGAGGGCCAGGTAGAGTCACAAAGGGTATCTACTAGTACAACATGCCTGGGAAAGCCAAAACAACCAGATGGTTGGGAACAAGTTCTGGCGTGTTCGCGTGTTCGATCTTTTGGAGAATGGCTGGGACTGGGGAGTTCTATTGTCTTTCTGGTGACTGGGGAAACCCAGGAAGGGTATGCGGAAAGACCATGACTGGGCAGTCACCTGGGAAAAAGGGAAAGGCAAATGGCACATGTTTGACATGTGCAAAAAGATCCGCCAAGGCAAGTTCGTTCGAAACCTGCAAGTTCGCTCGAAAAATCCTTCCGAACTCTCATTTGGCTGATCTGATCTATACTCCCCCCAAACGACTTCACGGAAAAGAAACGCCCACAGAATTCCGGCTCCACCTCCAAACACCGCCGGCAGGTGGCGCTGTGCGCGCGCTTCGACGAGACGGGTGACATCTTGGCCGTTGGATGCGGCGCGGCGGAACGGAGGGAAGGGTGGAACGGGAGCGCTGAGTCATTTGGGAAGGGAAGATAGGAGATGGAAAGATGGACTCCAAGTATACTCAAGTATTCACTCACTCATTGACTCCATAGTTTGGGAGGTAGATTGAAGTGGTTTGGGTGGGAGTCAGTGGCTGCCATTGACTCGAGTTCCGGAACGGTGGGCGGAAGAAATGCGATCCCGCTTCCTTTGGAACTCGTATACTGCACTGAGCGTGTTCGCTGGAAACCAAGCCGCAGCAGCCTGTCCAGTCTGGACATCGGTGGTGTGTTTCTATTTTTGGAGGCTGACAAAGGCCATTTGATAGAAGAAGAACCACATCACGCGACGCGCGTCGCGGATCTTAGATCCGCGGCAAGGTCAGCAGTTTCAGTTTACCCTGGGAAGATGTTTATGGGCACATGCAGCATTTGATGGACATGTCCATGACAGACATACTTACCCTACGGCTCGTGCTGAAGCTTTGGCCACGCGAGCTCGTGAAGCTTTGACCGTCAAAGGAAACATGACATTCCGAGCTGGCTGAGTGGGTGAAAGGTGCCAGCGTGCGGGTCGCCTGGATCGACCATCAGCGTTGTTCAAGAGAGAAAAGCTTGCAAAGACACTGATTGAGAAGTACAAGTCCGTTGGTTTGGAACCGCCTTTGACTCTGCTTGAAATGGCTCACGACACATCAATGTCCAAACGAACGTTGGAATCAGCAATGTGGTGGGCCAGAAGTGAACCATCTAGGTGATATCGACCATCCCATACAGTAACCGCGAGTTGTTTGATTTCACTGGAGCTATCTCACTTCAGATCCGGGAAGAATGCTCGTAAGTGTGGCAGTCTCCACGAGACGGCAGGTCAAGGTGGCGGGTGCTCCCAAGCCGCCGGCGCGCCCCTGCGGCTTGGCGGCGGCACACTTCGGGCATTGGGCAACAACCCCTTCAGCTTGCCTAACCGCCGTGGACGCTCCAGATGCGTGTACGTTTTCGGGCTTGTGGTTCTTTTTCGTAGCAGGCGAAAGGGTAACCTCGCGTTTTCATCCAGAGTCGGGCAGGCGCAGGGGATCAGACCTGTTGTACTCGGATGCGCAGACTTGCAGAAGGCGCGGTGATTTCGCGGCGCGCAGCGTTTTGTGGACCCTGAAGCGCAGCATTTTGTGGACCCTGAAGCGCAGCATTTTGTGGACCCTGAAGTGCAGCTTCGTGGCAGGCACAGCATTTTGTGGGCATTGAAGTGCAGCTTTGTGGAAGGCGCAGCAGTTTGTGGGCATTGAAATGCAGATTTCGTGGCAGGCGCAGCATACGTGCTCTCAACCTAGGCCTCTAGAACTCTGGACCTAAACCTTCACTTCTAAACTTGGTGTGTCAACCTCAATCACCACCGTCACCACCGCCACCATCACCACCAGTTTAGATCTCTAAGGCCTTCTACTTCTACACCCAAGAACTTAGACCTCTAGACGCACTGTTTGGGATTGTTTGCCGAGATAATTTTGATGCCTCACCCGTCCACTTGACCCTCCTTAAGAAGTCCTGCCCCCCAAATCCTACCCGGTCTCTTGCCGCTCGAGAGTGGTGCTCCAATTTCCCGGACTTGCCGCTCAGGTGATGACGATCGGATCGTCCTGCTTTTGCCGGAGCATAGCTTCAAGTGCTGGCTTGGGAAACCCAGACGGTACCGAGTCGCATGTCCGGTTTTGGGTGAAAGACATCCTCGGACATCGTCGTGACGCTAAAGCCTTAAAGGTCTCAGGGATTCTTCTCTTGCTGAGCTGGACCATGCCCCGAAAAGTGAGGTCGTTGGTTTGTCAGGTCGGGCGACGGCTGAGTCACGCCACGCGAACTCGAACCCGGACAGTTCACGTTCGGTGCAGCGCGAACCAAACCCGAAAAGCAGCAGGGGGACTTGCAGACAGCAAGCCGATGTACACGGCATATCCACTCATTTCGTCCATTCACAGTGTGCTGCGGGTGCTCTTGAACCTTTTTATAGGTTTCGGCTGCATGCTCATCAATGGAAAATGCATGAAACGTCCAAGCACAGAGCTCAGCCGCCCACCACGGGCACTCACGAAAGGAAACGAACCCAAACCCCGAACAGGACCTCCCCTTCCCGGGCAGTTCACGGCCACCCGAACTCGAACGGGAAGAAGGTCTCACATCCCAAGCAACGCCGGATGATCTGACTGATCCCTTAGCACCCCCCTTGGAATTTCCTCTAAAGAATCAGCCAACCCGGGTTGTCAAAAACCAGGCCATTCTTTAGAGTTCACCATGCATTTTTTAGAGTTCACCATGCATTTTTTAGAGTGGCAACGGAGTGTGATTCTTTAGAGGCGCACTTTTTGCCATTGTCATCATGGACTGGTACCTGGTGTTCTGATTCTTTAGGGGGAGTCCGGGTGCCACAGGTGTGTGTGCGCACTGTGCTCAACGTGTTCTGATTTTTTAGGGCCAGTGCCCAGTATGTGTTGGCAGAGTCCTGATTCTTTAAGCTGACATGTTAGTATGGGCACTGTGGATTGAGGATTCTTTGAGGTGGCAGGTGGCAGGTGGCCTCCTAAAGAATCAGACAGTCCAAGAGGGAGCCCGAATTCCAAGGGGGTTCCCTTAGCTGCAGTTTGTTTTTCAAGATGAACAGCCGTGAACAGCTATGGTCTCATGGTTTGGGTCTCGAACCTGGAACTGATCTGTGTACACTCTGTGTCTGTAATTAACGTGTAGTTCAGCAAGCAAGGTCTAGAGCAATTAGCAGTTCTAGACCAGTCACTCCAAGCCTTCCTATATACGCATCATTGGGACCCAAAACAATTCCACGCACCAAAGAAACCGTGGGATGCGACCGCGCCACGCACCGCGCGCACCGCAGGACGGAGCTCCGGTCCAGCTTCTCCGTCGCTCGCCTGGCCTTCGCGGGGAACTTCCTTTGCGCTGCGGGTGACCGCGAGGCATGTGGTGAGTGTGCTCGGTCCGGTGGTGGGTAAGCTGCACGCCAAGTAGCTTCGGAAAAGCCTCATGCGATGCGAGCTAAGGTTTGATGGAGGTGAGAGGAACAAGCAAGGTAGATTCATTCATGTGAGTCCATTGGGACTCCTTTCAATAGGCGCTCTCAGTGAACGGTTTTGATCCACTCTGAAAGAGTAGCTGAAAGACCCAAGTGAAAATCATAGTGATGCTGCAAAGCGGGTTCAAAAGCGAGTTGCCTCTCCTTGCTAAAGAGGTGGACTCGGTCAGGCGGCGATCTTCAACCTCTCCAACAGCCAGCTGGTGCTCCAAGTGCCGCGGCAGGAGGTGCAAATGGACGCGTGTTGTTTGGGAGGGATCGTGGCGGGGATGGAGAGTCAAGGTGGGAGGATGAGAACTTAGGGGTAGAACTTAGTGCCGCGGGAGCCGCGGTAGTCCTTTCTGTGCATGATGGAGAGTCAAGCAGGGATTTCACACACACCCATGTTTTTGGAGATAGATGACTTTTAGGGGAAAGGGCTTTGCCTTGGTTGACCACTTTCTGCAGGGTTCTTGCGGTTGCAGAGTGTTTGCCAACCAGGAAGCCCTTTTTTCCAGGCCGTGGATGTGGGAAGGAGGATAGACTTCATGCAAACCACCAACCAGTTCGACCCAAGTCGATTGGTTGTGTATGGTCACCCGAAGAGTCTGGGAGCTCTCGACCCAATTCCAAGCAACGAAGTCATTGGAAAAAGAGTGACGACCCGGGAGGGTTTACGACTGCAACGAGGCACAGATGGATTGAGCGATCGCATGCGATCACTTGATGTAAACTTCTGATGAGAGGCGTTTCAAACAAACGTCCTAACATGTCACACGTTTGTTGGGAAAGGTTTGTTCACCATCCACTTGCCAACAGAGCAGGTATACTTAGCAACTATAGAGTTCAAGGGAGAAGGAATTTGGCGATGTTCCGCAGCGACCATCACTGCCATGTTTCCGTGACGATAGGCGGATAGACGTACCCCTGTCGGCTTTCAGTGTGTCTCCATTATTGGTCAAAGACCCGTCCCCGAAAAGTGCGTGGACCAGAAGACCAGGAAGAAAAACCTGGCTTCAGATGGGATGAGTCGACTGTCTTTTCGGCCGGAGAAATTGTTTTTTTCAGAACCCCTTATGAATGCTTCACATCGATATGCCATCGATGTTTACTTCGGGAACTCACATCCGTTTGACCACCCGTCATCTATCGGGTTTTCTCCCACCGAACCCGAGACACTCCGAACCCGGTCGGAGCGCAAGCGGTGGGTTTCACGTGGCGACAGGAGAAGATCAAGGACATCTCCCTCACCGGCGATGGCTGCTTGGCCTGCTGCTTCCGAGGCCGGCAGTTGAGTGGGATGAATGGATGAGGATGAGGATCACTGACCAATCGAACGGTCCGTGTCAAAGACGGATCTTTCGGATGTGCGGTGTGTGAAGTGGGTTTTCGGATAGAATAAGTATACAGCAGACCCTTCCATCGTTTCGGATGATCTCCAACCAACATCAAGACCCAAATCATCACATTGGGAACAGCTGGACGTCAGCCGTGGAGTGGTTTCACGGCCTCGGTACGGTTCTTCTTCTCTCCGGTGTGTAGCAAGGCTGTATCGCATCATTTCGGTGCGTGCTGCGGAATGCTCAAGTCAGCGTGCGTTTGAATGGTGCTTTTAAAGCTGTTAGGCAAGTTTGACAGGCCACAAAAAGAGCTAAGAAGAAGTCCAAAGGTGCTAAACGCCTAAAATCATAAAAGGAATGGAAAGAAGAAATTAAGGAAGTCCAAGAAGGAGGAAAGACCAGTTGGACAAGGAGCAGGAGAAGATCAAATGAAACAGGAAGGGGAGCTCAAAGAAAAGGAAAAGGTGTGAAACTCAGATTAGCAGAGAAACGGTCCCATCAATTCTGCATTACACCTCCTTCACTTGCTTCTCTTTGATTTACCCTCCGGCCGCCAAGCCTCTATCACAGCGAGAAGTCGTTTTGGCACCGAACAAATCCATCCAGAAGTCATGTCCAGGTCCACCTCGGAGGATCCATTTCAGTCTCAAAGGCACCCCTGAGCCACCTGGCTTTCACAAACGATAGTTTGTAACAAACCATATCAGGGCGGGGAGTCCCATCTTTGGGGGGGTTCAGACCTTCACCAGCGGTGGCTCGGCTCCTCCCCACGCGCGCAGCTCGCGGTGACGATGCCCGTGCCTCGAGGCCATGTGACCTTGCTGCGCTTGGAAAACGCCCCTCAGGCGGGCGACACACCCGAACCCTCGAGTGCCGAGCGAACGAGTGAACGGTCGGAACGAAGTAACGAGTGACGCGGAACTTGGGGATGGATCAGGAACAGGTGATGTTCTTTTTGAGGGAAGGTGTTTTTGGGATCGCAAGACGAAAGGCAGCACACATCCTGAAGTGTATATCAGTTGTATATGGGATGTACAAAGTGGATCTCCATTTACAGTTGCCGGTGCATTTCTTCAAAAAAGCACGAGTTGATCGCAGATGCTGTAGGACAGTCCATTTCATTGTTGGGAGAGTGTTTTAAGATATTAATTAAGTGTTTCACTATGTTGTTCAATGTGTTTATGAAAGAGGGAGAAGTGATTCTCCACCGAAGCTCGGCATCGGACGCCGCGGATCGCCTTGGCCCGGTCGGTCCATCCAGGTGCCGAGCGGTCGAGCAGTCATGCAGGTGGGATTGGGTGGGACCTGCAGATGCAGCGGATGAAACCGAAAAAAAAAAACACACAAAAGCCCAAGGGGGGTTGAGGGTTGGTGAGTTCATGGGAGAACTGACTGAACTGACTGTCTGACTGTATGGTGGGTAATTGATTGGTTTGGTTCTTACTTGGGAGATCCTTTTGGTGGAATTGTCGACTTCTGTAGCGAAGTGAAGGCAGATGTTCCTTTGCTGTCCCGACTTGTTCCCAAGCCGCCAGGTATTCGTCCTTTTCACAGGACGAATGGAAAACATCCCACCAACTCAATGACTCAACCAGGAAAATCCAGATGTCCATGTTACATGAACCGATGTTTAGAACAGCGCCCCGTGAGAAAGCGATGTGAGACAGATAATCATAATATGTGGAGGGTGCAGGGTAAGAGAGTAAGTTCCAGAAGAAAGTCTGAAGAGCTCGGTCAAGCATGGGACTTCACGAAAGCTTCACATCAGTGAGTGTCCGTCTCGGACGTTCCGGTTTGGGCCACCACTGCCCCTCGGAGGATCTGCGTTGCAAGGAACTTGGAGAAAGCACCCCGTTCCAAGAGTTAAGAGGGAGAGAGAGAGAGAGACGAGAGACGAGAGAGAATCAGAAAGAAAAAGGAAAACCCATCGGAGTCGGTTCGACCATTTTGACTAAAAGGAGAAAAGCGGTGGTGGTGCCACAAATAGTCCATCGGACTTAAGAATGAAAGAAACCAGTGCCTTCGAGCGTGGGACGCCGCCTGACCCCCTGACCGACCGCCTCCAATGGACCCAGCCCTCGAAAAGCAGGTCCCCAGCGACAAGGATCGCTTCAAGTCGCGGGGCACGGTGACGTCGCTGTCGCTCAGCCGGGGCGCCCCGGTGGGCGCGGACGGGGGGAAGGGGGACTGAGAACCGGTGTTGGTCGCAGTTTGGGTGGAGGGATTTTAGGTCGAAGGGCCACGGGTTTTGGGGTATATGAGTAGGTCGGTGGCTGGAAAGGTTGCTGGGATGGAGCAAACGATTAGAGGTGTAATTAGTGTGGAATTTTGAGGCACCCTCACATATCATCTCACATCAATAAGTTCATGATAGGCGAAATGGACTTTGGCCGTCTGAGCTCGCGACCTTAGAGCCAACCGGGACGCACGGAGCACCGCAGAGCGCCACTGCGAGCCGATTTCAGTGTCTCGATCCAGCTATCAAAAGACCTCGTGAAGTGGAGCTATCCCAACTAAGCGTTCAATTGTTGACTGTTGGTTTAACAATTACTGTATGTGTTGTGTTGTGTTATATAAAGCTGTTAAATTGTTGACATGTTTGTGAGCTGGTTTCGTTTCAGCCCGCTTGGCCTGCTGATGTGAACGATCCGATGCCGCGCTCCCGACGCTCCGATCGCCGCAGAATCCTCTCCCAGCGAAGTGATGCATTCGGTGCAGCTGAACTTTGGCCACGTGGAGGTGCGGCGAGTTGTCAAAGAGAGGAAGGAGAGCAGAAAGAAGAACTGAGGGCGGTTCTTTGGGATCCTCGAAAAGAATGGTTTGGCGGTTGGCCAACATGTTCTTCCGGTTCGCTCACGTGTTTTTTTCCGTATGGTCCTGGCGAACTGGAAAGTTGGCCACGGTTTGTGGCGAGTAGCTATGCAGTTGAGGGTACAAGGGGATGATCACAATCCTTGTCGGGCGCCGAGGTGTCCACCGTTTTGGAAAGGTAGCAGCTTGTCATGAGGCATTCCGAGGGCAACTCCCAAGGCTCGCAAGGCCACCAGCAATCTCCTGGAGCACACAGAACAGGAACCCAACTAGTTGAGTCATGTCCTCGCCCTTTGGCGCCCTTCGGCTTGGCAGCGCCATGTAGAGCAGAGCCATGGCGTGGCATGTCTTGAGTATGGATTACAAGAAAGCTTGGAGGTGAGGCATCCCTCAAACAGACAGTTCATAAGTTCACCCTGAACTTGCGGAGAAGTTGGGGAGAGGAGGCTCTGTTGCATGTTCTCCGTAAACCCATCAAAGTTCCAGAATCTGTTCATGTGACGGATGGTCAGTTCATTGCTGGAATGGAGGGTAGCCCTTCCGCTCGTCACTCAACCCACTAAAAGGGTTCTTTCCCAAAAGCTTTTGGGGACACCCCATGGTCTGGAGGACGGTGCTTTTCCTTGGGCAGTCTCAACCCCACAGGCCAAAGGTGTTCAAAGCTGCCATGTCGTGCCTGGCAGCTGCGGTGCCTGGCGCAGCTGCGGTGCACCACGAGCGGCACGGCACCGGCGCCCGTCGTTGGCGCCCGAAGCGGATGATCTCTGCTGATGTCGTGGTGCATCACAAGCAAGGCCGCACAAGCGACATAAGTCCGATCCCTCAGCAGTTGGGTGATCCCAAGGCAGACTGGCAGTCTGGTAAGATCATCGTCGTCGTCGTCATCATCATCATCATCATCATCATCAGTGAATCACCAGTCCAAGTCAGGAAGAGAAGATTGTCCGTGATTTTTTCGCAAACGACTTGAAAGATGAAACCCATTTCGGGTACTCATTCTTTTCTCGCAGTTTCTCGTCCCTTTGCCAGGATTGTGAAGGTGAAGTCCGACTCCCACGCTGAAGGACTTCAAGGCAAGCTTGAGGGATGAAGAGACATTGCTGAGGGATCGGCAGGCAACGCTTTGGGACGATGTATTGCGGCAATTTTGTTGGTTTTAACAGGGGAAACCTGGTAGGTTCAGATCCTCTCCATCCAATCCGCAGATGTGATGGTTGCACTAGTATTGTAGGTGGGCATCATGTCGCAGAAGTGACCGCGGTTTTAGAACCAATGCCAAGTCTTGGGGACTTGGAATTCATTCTTAACCGGTCATCACCATCGATATTTGGTCGGTTAATTCCCGGTTCAGCAACCGCTTTGCAACATGGAGATACCACGAAGAACCCACCCGCCCTTGCAGCTTTTCAGTGCACCAGGGTACGAGAAAGCCCGAAGGTGCTGGTCATTCCGCCTTCCCATCATATTGTAGGCTCAGTGCGACGTCTGGGCCCTCGAGCGTTCCAGCGCTGCAGCAAACGCTCGCTTTGCCCAACGGCCTCCTGGCACGATCCTAAGAACTCACGCTGCACAGTCGATGAGCATTTGTCAGAAGCCAAACAAAGAGTTCGCAGCTTTTCAGTGGAAAATGTCCAGGTAGTCAGCATTTGTCGTAGAAGTGATTGATTTCATTTGCAGATCGCCTCAAACGGTCGTTGCAAGCATATTCTCCCAACCACTTCCAGCCGATGCAGTGGACCCTTCAAGCACTCACTTCGATCTGTCAACGATCTCCGCGTTGTGCGCGTCTCCGCCCGGTGCCGGTTCACTGAAAAACTGGAAGTTCCAGCTGTGGTGAAGGGAGTCCGGAAGACTCGCCATGGTCCGTGAACGTTCCAAACCGGCGACGATTTAATCATGTTTTGTTGTTGCAAAGTCTTGAGACTTGAGCTGTATTTGGATCCACAAGTATTTGTAGTCAAGAGTCAACAGTTCTATGTGTTCTAGTTATACCACCATTAAATTCGCCTCTCGGTGGTTTTGACCGCCGCATGGCGTTGCCGGCCGCAGTGCTGCCAAAGGTGCTCGCTTTTGTGCCGGAAAACCTGCGATGCAATTGCTGCCGGTTGTCAGCCATGACGCCAAAGATAGCGTTGAAGCTGAATGTTGGACACACATCGTGGCTTTCGTGCCAGCTGATGTGCACTGCCTCTCATCGCTGAGGGTGGCCAGCCAACATGCCAAAGAGTATGTGGACAGACGGTGGTGGACAGCACAGGTGAAGATGATGAAAGCCTTTGTGGATCGACGTGCAGATCTATTCCCTCAGAATGAATTGACAGAAGCTGTTTCCATCGAAGACCGACAAGAAGCAGAAGCCTTTGCTCGGAATGGGCTGCTTTGGGTGAAGCCGCTCCTGGTGAATCAGCCGTGGAAGCCTGGAGAGTCCGCAGATTTTGACGCTGGCGCCAGAGGTGAGGTCGCTCCGCAAGCAGCGTTCTTCCATCTCGGAGGAGCACTGGGGCGCTTGAGTGACTTTGGCCTTTTTTGACTGACTCAGTACCTCCCCTTTGTCGAGAATGGACCCCTGAGACCGTTTTGTTCTGAGGGTCCATGTAAGTTTGAGGGTAGCTAGTCATGCCATTCAGCATCCCATAAATTGTGCAAGTTGAAGCTATTTATCCCGGAAGAAGCCCAAAGTATTGCCAGTCTATTGCCTAATTCATCATTTGGAATAGACTACTAATTTCTAAAGATATGTCCCAGCGTCGTTATCCACATCTGGGGGTAGGACCGAGACATGTTGCAATTGAGTCACAAAGCCTCACCAGTAGACCTCCGCATGCATGTTTATCGGGAAAGCACAGTGCTCCTTTGTTGGAGGTGATACTAGGTGCACTGGGCATGTTTTCACACTGTTTACGAGAATGCGACTCTCCCCCGGTTTGCAATCGTGGCTTGGTTTCTGATTGTAAGAACTTGAAGCCCCTACGATCGTTGGAATGATCCTCTCAAGTCTCGGACCACCACACCTTTGATGTTTAAAGTAGGACAGCGTCTTATCGTCGATTTCTTGGCTTCGTCTAAGTGCGCATCCCACCCATTAAGACCTTGGTGCCAACAGACCTTTGAAAGGTTCTTATTCAAGACAGTTTAATCTTAAAAGAAAGATGTCCCCCAACTGCATACTGATGCACAAAGCAGCTGTCTTGGGGCATCCTTCGTTGAGAGATGAGTCTATTTTCTGAAGATTGCTGAACTAGGTTCCAACTGTCTTCCTCATGTCATCTCCTAGGTGAGAGGAGCAACGAAGTGCTCCGAGAGATCCTCCAACAGGCACGTCACATCGAAGCCTATCATCTGAGGCATGAAACGTCTGAGTATACTAGAGTCTCCAGAAGTGATGCCAGGCACATGCAAGACCTTCAACTTGAAGGCGGCAACGTTCCACAGATGGTGGCCACCCTGTTGACGACGGAGGAAGATGTCGCATCTGGATCCTTTGTCACGGAAATGACTGGAGAAGGAGAGCTGCCAGAGGCGGTGCGGACTGTGATGGCTGTTGTGGGCAACGACGAGGACATGGCTCGGGACGTTCTCAGCGCTTTGCAACAAAGTGGACTCTTTCTACTTGATACTGTCTCTGAGATGAGTGAACCAGACTCACATTTGTTGAACAATGAGGAATTAGTCAGAGACTTGGATGAACCCAGATGGGTTCCCCATCCACCCCTTACTGCCATGTCGGACCATACACGATGCAGGGCTAGATTCAGACTTGGTTTGATATTCTTGATTGTCATCAGTGTGGTACTCTTTGGATTCCCGGACCATGGAAATACTGGTCATGGTCAAACTTCCATGAAGAGAAGTGTGATGTCGTGCAAGACTGGGTGGCTTCGCTTCAATTTACGGCCGAGTTATAGAAGAAGCTTGTCATCTCCTCATTCAAAGCAGCAATCCAAGCACTTGCGGTACAACGGCAAAGATGATCAGCTTTCGCAAGCGAATCAGCCCGTTCCTCATGGGATCACGGGGCGTACTAGGCCTCCTCGGAAAGCAAGTCGGATTCCAATCGGGCATCCAATAATCAAATGCTTGTACCCGACGAAAGGTGGTTGGACAAGACTTCATCAAGCAGCTGACAGTGGCAACCTGTTTCAAGTGATATTTCTTCTTGCACTAGGTGATGACAAGGAAGCAGCCGCGGCAAATGGTTCCACAGCATTGCATTTGGCAGCCAAGCAAGGCCACCAGAGTGTGGTAGATGCGCT